ATATTTTTATTATATTTTTATTATATAATAATTATAAAGCATACATATTTAGCAAAAATCAAAGGTTCTGTAAAGAAATTACTATATATTTTGTGAGTTAAACCAAGATTATTTCGTCCTGGAAAAATTATTTTTATAGGTGAAACATTTCGAACATTGGAATGTAGATTAGCTCGAAACACTGAAATGTAGCATGTTTTTCTTGTCTAAATCATTCAAATAAGATGATTAGCTTGTTAATAAAGTTCAACCTATTATTATTTCGAGATCTGATGATTCATAGAATATCAAATTACGGTTTCTATGCTTAGTTCTCTTTATAGGCTAACGCTTCTTGTCATGAGTAGACATTAATTATGATGATAGCATATGAGTGTTTGAATTATGCCATTTATGAAAATTTGTAAAATAGTAAAAATTGAAGGCATTAGAAAGTGGATACGGGCTTATGATTTGCATGTGAAGTATAGTGTGAGAAAGGATGAAATATTTGTCAACAATTAGAAGATGAACGTGAATTAACTATTAGAATTGATTATAAAACAACACCTCGTGAGTGCAATACAAAGTATTTGTTATCTTTAGAATTTATCGTATAAATAGTCTTTGAAAATTATGCTAACGGAGTTTTTTTCCATATGTTTTTTCATCAATATTTTAACAAAATTTCTAAACTTAATAAATGATTATGCTATTTCTATTTTTGTCTCAATGCTAAAAATAAAATAACGATAACAATAACGACAACAATAATAATAATAATAAGAAAAATAATAATAATAAGAAAAACAATAACTGACCTTATAAAGTTTCGCTTGTAGCTCTTTATAATTGTTTATTTATATGTACGGACGTACGCATCAATATTATGCGATAATCAAATTTGTAACTTTATTCTAATGGTAATGATAAATATGAATGAGATTAGTGCCTAAATTGGCTTTGGTACATACAATTTACAATTTACCGTTACATGTAACGTTTAACTAAATTTTTAGAATTTTCCAAACATTAATATTTTTGTATTTGTGTTACATGTACACGTACGTACTTGGCGCAAATTATGGACTTTTAAAGCTTCATCAATATTGATAAGTAAATTCACATTCAAAAGTTTTATTACGACTCTTACCAATTTACATATTTTATCATAAATTTTAATTTCATTATGTCAACGAATTCCTTTAAAGAAGATGTGAAGAATGTATCGGGTCTTACAATTAAAACTACAGTTCAAGTTGCTGCATCCTATGTTCCTATAGTCGACTCAGTGAGAACTTTATTTAATGAAATTTATAAACTTTATGAGAATGCCGAATGTAATAAAGAAATGTGTATTCAAATGATGGAACGAGTAGAAGCAGCAAAATATGCAATAGAAAGAATGACTAGAAGGAATGATAATTATTGTTATGAAAGAGAATATTCATTATCTCTTAAAAGATTTGTAACCGTTCTAACAGATATTAAAGAATTTACTAATAAAGTTTCAAAACTCGAAGGCTTTAGAAAATTTATTGAAGCAAATAAAATTAAACAACAATATGATAAATTAGTTCATGAATATGATGCTTGTATGAAAGATTTACATTTTACTGTAACAATTGCTAGTGAAAATGAAAGAAGTGATGATTCTAAAAAAATTGATAAAGCTTTAAAGGTATGTACGTACTAAATAATGTTTAAATATATTATAATTCGTTACGTTAAGCTTTTTTTTCATTTTCATTTGTCGATTTAGAATCTTGAGAAGCTTAATTATGGTATCGAAATTACCAATAATAAACTTGATGATATACAATCCAACATAACAAAAAGTAAATCGAGTGGTGCCAATGCACCAAGAGTCAAATTGGATGATCCTCCAACGGGAAATTACAGTCGTGGCTCTGTCATTAAGAAGTATCATAGGGGCGCTGAAGTTGCATGTAAGCCCATCGGAGATTCTTCAAAGCATCAATCCGAATTAGCAATCCTTGTGGAATTAGGTGTATCACCAAACATTCTCAAATTCTACGGTCTTTCAAATTTCGACAACCATGAATCTATGGTCTTTGAATGGGCCGAATTTGAGGAATTAAAAAAACTTTATGACAAATTTGATATTCCCTGGACTAGAAAAGTACAAATGATTCGTGATATCTGTCGTGGTCTTGTATTTTTACGTGAATTAGACATTCTTCATCATGATATTAGATGTGAAAATATTTTTGTAAGTAAATATTTATCAAACAAAATTAAATTTAACAAGTTACTAATTTATTAATTCATAGGTATCACAAAGCTTAGATCCAAAGCTTGGAAATTTCGTATACGCTCGCAAAGCGAATGCAGATACTACTAAATTTTTGTTTCAAAATAAAATAGAAATGTTTCGTTGGATGGCTCCTGAACAAATTAAAAAATGTCAAACTAATCCTAAAGAAAAAGGATATACATTTAGTTGTGAGATGTATAGGTAATTTTATAATTGTTTTAATTGTAGATCTTTTTTTTTTTTTTTAATTAAATTTTTTTTTAAAAAAAAATTTAGTTTTGGAATGCTCATTTGGGAACTCTGTTATGAAAAGATTCCTTACAAAAGATATATAAACCCTATGAAAATATCTAATCATGTTTTAAGTGGTAAGCGTGAAAAACTTTTAGTCGGAAAATCCGATAACCCTGATGATGTGATTATTCAGAAAAAACTAATTAAATTAGTTGACTCAGGCAAGATAACTACTTCTATAAAGATTCATTTATCTTGTTTCCTTATTATATTATATTATGTTAACTATTAATTAATTAATTGGTAAATAGCATGGCAACCTATGCCAGAAAATCGAATAGATCTTGTAAAATTACATAGAAAACTTGAAAAATTAGCAAAAGAATACCCAATTCCTTTTAATCGTCCATTACTTTTAAGAGATAAAGAATTGGATTTGGGAGCATGTGAAGAAGTAGATCTTGACAAAGGGATTGAATTTCATAAAAAGAGAGAATATGAAAGCGCATGGAAATGTTTTGAAGAAAATGCTGATTTTGGTGATCCAGTAGCAAAATATTGGCAAGGATATTATTTGTTTAATGGATATTTTGTTGAAAAAGATGAAGAAAAAGCAAACAAATTTTTTAAAGAGGTTGCTGATAATGATGAAATATATTGGCATGTGGATAGTGATGCACAATATCAAAATGCAGTTTCTGATGCGTCATATCGTTATGCTGTTTCATTACTAAATGATGAAAAAAAAAGAGAAGAAAACCGCGATGAAATTATAAAATATCTAGAATTGGCAAACAAGAAAAAGAATCCTGATGCAATGTATTGTTTGGGCAATATTTATGTAAATGGAAAACTTAAGGTGGAACAAAATGTAGATCTAGGATTACAATATTTAAATTCCGCTTTGAAGCATAATTTTTCAGATAGGGAAAAGGTTGTTGATTTATTGAATAAGTTTAGTAAAAATGGTTAACAAAAACGTTAAATTTTATTCTTAAATCATGATGGTCCAGATTATTTAGTGACGACATTTTATCAATAAAATGTTAAATTACTGTTTATTATTTATTAATTCTTTAGTTTGTTGCATATTGTCTATTTTTCTATTTTCATCTTATTTATATTTTATTTGTATCATATGTACTTTTAATGACATAAACTATAAGCTTTGCTTCTATTATTTAAGAATGCATACTGTATAAAATTGTATCTTGATTAGTGTTTCGGGCGAAATTATATATTTCGCCTAGGCGAAATTTCCGAAATAGGGCGAAATATATTTCGCCCAAAA